TAGTCGATGTCACTGAACTGTGCATGTAGAAATTTTTGAAATGGTGTATCTTTGGCTATGTATATTTTCACCAAAAAAAGAAAGGTCGAGAAGGGAGAGTTGACATGCTGTGGGGTTGTTAACCAATGTCATAAAACAATATGTGTACTACTGTTTCATGACAAACTATTTGTTCTGTAAACATTCACCTGAAGTACAATAAAAAAAAAAAAATTAGCACCACCGATCTCTGGTCAGATGGCTCACTTCACATTTCAAGAGACAACAGAAAATTCCATGCTATGTAATTACATAATATAATCTCTAGAACCTCCATTTCTCTTTTTTTCTTTTTTTTTATTGTTGTTATTAAATGAAGTTTACATTTCAAGTTAGTCTCCCATACAAAATTTTTATACATGGTTATGAGACCCTAATTGCTCATCCCATTCTGCAACAGCACACTCCTCCTTTCCGCCCCTGATTCCCCATGACCATTCAAACAGCTCCTAACCCTCTCTGCCTTCCCGTCTCACCTCTGGACAGAAGCTGCCCCTGTGGTCTCTTGTATCTACTTGACTAAGAGGCACACTCTTCACGAGTATCACTTTATGTCCCACAGTCCAGTCCAATCCCTATCTAAAGAGTTGGCCTCAGAAATTTAGTTCTGGACTGGTAAGAGAGTCCAGGGGCCATGGTTTCCAGGGCACCTCCTGTCTCAGTCAGACCATTAAGTCTGGTCTTCTTACTAGAATTTGAGTTCTGTACCCCATCCTTCTACTGCTCCATCTGGGACTCTGTTGTTAGAACCTCCATTTCTCTTGAAGAAACAGAGGGTTCCTCTTTGCATACACTGGTTATTACCAAAGTCTGTAAATGTTTAGCCATCTGCCTGTAGTCTATTTCCAAAATTACCAGCTAAACCCGACAGGCTGTATATCTGTGGCACGTGTTTGTGAGTTCTACAAAATTTAAGGGCCTTGGCGGGGGGTGGGGGTGGGAATCATCCTTCTTGCCACTAATTTAAATTGAAGACCAACGCTCCCCAGTAGTAATTGAACATTTGTACATTTGAAAAATTATTCTTTGTCAGTTTCTCCCAAATACATCTCATCCTTTCTGGGCCACCCAAAAGCAAGGATTTTTCCCCTTTATGTCAGACCGCACGAATATGTCCTGGGCTCTTTGCTTGGACTAATTAATATCAAATGATATCTTGGAGTGGGAGGAGGAGGAAAGGAGGAGCCATTGTTGGGAAAGCAATGAGTGTTTTGTTTGTTTATGGTGATGGAAAATTTGGTTTACCAATGAAGGGTAATAGTTGCACAACATGGTTAATGTTGTTGATATCACTAAGCTGTCCACCTGAAAAAGGTTGAATTGGTAAATGCTGTTATATATATTTTCACACACACAAAAAAAGAGCAGCTGCTGAGGCTCCTTACGTACAAATACCTCATGGGATTTGTTTTCCTGGTTTGGAGATTTAGGCATAGTTTCATGGGACATCCCAGTGAATTGGCCTAATATTGCTTTTTAGTGTTTCTGTTCCACCTCCTAGTTCATCGTGTAGTGCCTGGGGTCTTAAAAGCTTGCAAGTGGCCTGGAGCAGCAGAGGAAAGAAATAGAGAGACAATAAGCAGATGCATGTCTAATTACCTCCATGAACAACTGCCTCCTTTGCCATAAGACCAGAACTGGATGGTGCCTGGCTACCATTTTATAACATTTTGATCAAATATTCTATAGAAGTATCCTGATCAAAAGGGGGAAAAATAAGGAACAGAACTTCAAATTATTATGGAATCCAGACTTTCTGGAGCAATTGAGGCTGGATGACCCCCCGAAACTATTGCTCTGAAATTTTTTTTCCTGCCATTAGAATTAAAAAAAAAAAATTACTGTGTTTTAGGTGAAAATTTACACGACAGATTAGATTCCCATTTAACAGTTGATACACAAATTGTTCTTTGACATTGGTTACAATCCCTGCGATGTGCCAGTAGTCTCACCATGTCCACCCTGCCTGCCCCATCCAACCAGCTTCCCTGCCCCTCATTGCCTTCTCATCTTTGCTTTTGGGTAAATGTTGACTGTTTGGTCTCTTATAGTTGATTGTTTAAAGGAACACATTCCTCATTGGTGTTATTTTATAGGCCAATCTATTATTTGGATGAAGGGTGACCTCCAGGAGTGGCTTCAGTTTCAGGTTAAAAGGGTATCTTAGGGCTGTAGTCTTGAGGGTTCCTCGAGTATTTATCAGTCCAGTAAGCTGGGTCTTATGAATCTGAGTTTTGTTCTACATTTTTGTTCCATTCTAACCAGGACCTTCTTTTGTGTCCCTGGTCAGAACCATTGGTAGTGGTAGCTGGGCATCACCTAGTTCTTCTGGTCTCAGGCTAGAAGAGGCTGTGGTTCACATGGGCCATTATTCCTGTGGACTAATTTCTTCCTTGAGTCTTTGGTTTCCTTCATTCTCTTGCTCCAGACAGGAAGAGGCCAATAATCATATCTTTGATGGCCGCTTGCAAGCTTTTAAGACCCCAGATGCTACTCACCAAACTAGGATGTAGAACATTATCTTTGTGAACTAAGCTATGGCAATTGACCTAGTTGTCCCACGAGACTATAGTCCTGAGCCTTCAAACCCAGTAAATCAATCCCACAAGGTGTTTGGATATGTCTAGGGAGCATCTGTAACTATGCCCTCCATGTGCTTTATTATGTAAATACATATGCAGCACCAACAGGTATATACACATGCCCACAATTATACCTGCATATGCACACACGTACTCCCATACGTCTTCCCACACCCATGTAGCATACATATCTACCTATGTAACCACTCATATTTTTTGCTTATTACTGTTGCAAAATTATAGCGTTTACCGTTAACTGTCCTTTCTTCTTGTGTATCTCTTGCTGAGATAATCTTTAAACCTTAATCTAAAACTGTCCCCTGAAGTCACCTTACCACAAACGATAATTTAGCTTAAAAAGTACAGAATGTCTGCCCTGAGCATGGTGCTCTTTTAAAGAATATCTATACGGAATTAAACTGACAACAGCAACTCAAGATCAGATGAGACACTTAGGGGGCAGTAAATTTACGTTAATGGTGGTAGAATAATTTGAAAAAGGGTATGAAAATTGTTGCACCACTTGCAGAAAGTAATCAATGTAATTGAATTGTACATGTAAAAATGTTGAATAGGTGTGTGTTTTGCTGTATATATTTTCACCAAAAATAAAATTTATGAAAAGAAAAAAAATCTAAAAGAGTGTTTTTTCCTCTTCAGTCTTAACTCTTTGGGCAAGGTCAGTTTCATTTGCAAATCCAATGGAAACAATGAACCCTCTTTCTATGAAAGTCTACGTACACAAGATTGCATACATTTTTAAACGGTTCATGAATGAATGTTAGTTCAGCAAACCTGGCTCTAGAAAACCACACAAAAACGTACACGTGCAAGATTACCGGGGGGTTCATAAACACCATATGAAATATGCAGACAGAATACTCTGATTGGCTGGCTTAAAAAATAAGATGACTTACCATTATTTCACACAAGTCACATGGTTAAAAAGAGGCAGGACAAAAAAGTTTTTACCCATTATGATTTATTCTCTACAATACTTTGTTAAAGAGTTCAATGATTTGCACTCAGAAGTTATATAGCCAAGAGGCAACCAAGTGTAATACAAAGAATTGGTCTGAAGTCTTTGTACTGAAGGCCATACAAAGTCTCTTGCTTCAGGGAAATGAGAGTGAAAAGAAACAAAAACAAAACATAGTTTCCTAGGTTCCAGAATTCCGGTAGAAAATAACATCAACAGTTAGTGTAATTGTAGATGTTCACATATGGAAAACACACCTTGTGCAAATATCAACACCTAGGACTTTTGTATAGATGACATTATAACAATAAAATATATCTCAACTACAAATCCTTCTTGTTAAAAGGGTCTCTAACATGAGTTGCTTTAATATTATGAAGGGAAAAAGATTAAGAACCTCACAGTGAAACAATCCAACACCGACAAACTCTAGTGATCATTCTCTTTTAATGTAAAATGAGGACAATTCATAATTACAGAGAATGTCCCAGCTGTGGGTATTACAAGACAAGCCAATTTTCCAGACCAAAAGGCACTCACAGCTAGGGATGAAACAAACTCTGAACCAAGCCAGCAAAGTTGGGCTGGTTCCTTGAAAACTGGTTACCTACTGTTCAGCTTGAGCAGCCCAAGGACAAAGGAAATACTAAGCAAAAAAACAGACCCTTTCTTTAAGCCTACCAATCACACCCCATTATCTGGCCACCCTCATCACTGATTTGGTCAAGCATGTGCAAGGCGGTTCAGTTCCAGTTCAGAGCTGTCATCTGCCTATGCAAAGCTGCCACATGGATGATCCAGACTTGGTATTTTTCCTGAGAGCCACCTGCCATGCATGTTCATGAGGTGACCATAACTGTACGCTTCCAGACCGCTTCCTGACTAGGCCCCATTCAGGACTGACACTGACAGTGCCATTATTTACAGGGCCAAAGAGTTTTCCTTGGTTGACTCCTGAGTCCCCTTGGCAAGGCAAGAGGAACGAGCACATTCCCATTGCTAGACTTGTGTGGAGCATGAGGAAATGTGGAGGGAGTAAGGCTTCTTCACTCCAAAAACCAGAGCCCACCTTCAGTGTGGTGCTGGGCTTAAACCAGCCTGATTCTTGTGCACTGATTCCCCCCCACCACCCCATTTCATGGGTTAATTTTTTCTGTTCACTTTCTTAAATGGCAGGTATCCTATCCCACACTCAATAAAATAAAATAAAAAACAAACTCTACACTGGGGAAGACAAATAGGGTGACATTTATACAGACAAACAGGCGTGAAGAGCATGGCACTGTAAATGCTTGCATGACCAGTCTCACTGAGCGCACTCGGGTGAAAGTTTAGCACCAATTTTTTTGCTTTTTTAATCTTTAGAAATTAAACACAACTTTTAACGTAGAACACTTGAACATTAATGAGTGTAGCCCTATGTACCAATACTGTTGTACAAATTGGAGGTGGATGGTTTAGTCCAGAGCTGACCACCCTTACATCAAGCCATGGTACAAGACTGATTTATTCTTCTCAGCAGCAGGAAATCATTCAGTGATCCCTTCATCTTCAAGGGGTTTTCATCAACATTGCAAGGGAACAGTGGCAGGAGAGAGCCTAGCACAGTTACAACGGGTGCCCTGGCACGGGTGTCCTGATGTCAGCCCCACAGTTCCCTTGCACTTCCCACATCCTCGAAGAGCAGAGGACTGTGCCAAGCAAACCCACTCACCCTTTCATTCTTTTTCCCAAGAAACAAGACAGTGATGCCTAGAATAGCACGATGTCATTTCTCACATTGTGCCCCTGCTCCCCCTCCCCCATTCCCAGCAGAAGGAAACTCAAAAGAGCTCGACTTACTTGCCCATTTCGGAAAGCCACACTATCACCACATAAACTTTAACAAATATACTAAATCAAAACATTATGTGTTCGCTGGGTTGAAACCCAATCCACTTCGAGTTCTCTAAACATGTTGCTGAAAACCAGTGTTAACATCTTTAGGATCCTTTCTTCCAACTGGCCACCTCTTCCTGTGAATCATTTTAGCAGTGCCTCTGTTACAATGTTTCCAAAGCATCTTCCAAGTCCCCTAGTTCTATAGCTTTGCCACCAAATGAGTGAAGAACAGGCAAAAGGAGAGACACTTGCTGACAGATATTTGGAAATCAGCAACAATGGGAAAGGGAAGTATGTCACATGAAAGTTTGAGTGATCTTGAATAAAATGAGTTTCAGGAATTTCCCTTGGTGGGGTGAAGATTCCCAGCATGTTAGGCAAAATAAAGATTCACCTTGTTTAATTACAGTTTTGTTCTAAAGTCCTGCAGGAACTCCCCTGTTAAAGGTCCTTCAGAATGCTTGCCTGGAAAGAAAAACAGCTTGGAGACCCTGGATTCTCTCCTATGACAATGTGTCCTTATAAAACACCAACCAAGCTGCTTGTCTGAATTATCTATGCTTTCTGAGAACCTAGGTCCAGCTATAGGCACTGCTACCAGTAGAGTGAGGTAGCCTGGTAGTAAGGAAGAGATCTCTCCTTTCACATGTGTGCAGTGATGACATCATGCCCTCCTGTGGGCATCTCCATTCCATTCCTCAGCAGGCTACACCACAGTGCTCTGTTTATACCAGGAGACTCAGTGTAGGAAGAATGCCAGAAAATCCAACTGATACTAGGATGAGATTTAAAACCTTCAAGGCTTATTGAGCAATGATGAGATCTGCAACGCCAACCAAAGGGCTTCCGATCTTGATGTGGGTCTCTGTCCAGGAGCCTCAAAAGACTCATGGTGCCCACGCTCAACCCTAACATGGTGTCCGGTTATGAAACATGGAGGCTGTGATCAATTCTTGGTATGTGATAAACTGGAAGTTTAAAAAAAGGAATTTAAAACAACCTAAAAATGTTTTTGTTGGTCTCCGTTGCCCAGACTGCCAGGGGAACATACCTACTTCATCTGGAGAGGTTGTAGGGGTGTGTGTGGGGTGAGCCTTCACGGATCTTTAATTCCAGCTTCCATTATGTGGCCAACACACATGCAGCAAATCACCAGTGGCACCTGCATGCCAAAGGTCTTCTGAACCCACATAGTAAATCTTATTAATCATGGAGGAGCCCCAATCCAACTGAACCCCATATTGAGGAAAGGCTGAGATAAGGCTTGGGCCCCTCAAGTTCGGTTTCATTCAGTGGAACCCCCCCACCCCCTCAGTCAGCTGGAGGCAGACTTGGCAACGGAAGCTAGCATCATAAAATGGTGCAGTAATAAAAGTAACTGGACCAGGAAGAGGAGGCATCTGCTCCAATGATGTCATAGCCATTGGCGGCCACAGGGGGGTGGGACTGGTCATGCAGCCGTGTGTCAGGAGTAATGATTGTAGAGGGGCGGGGCATGAAGAGTGCCATTCTGGAAACAGTGCTGACGAGAAGCAATATACTCTGCATAACTGATTGTCACCTTCTCACTTCGGTACCTGAATAAGGAAACAGGAAAGAATATTAGGAACCCCAAACAGTTCATTTTGTAGAGTCACTCAGCAGCGAAAACCAAAAGCTTATTCTATATTTTGAAAGAATAAAATGAAAAGACCAAGAGCAATCTTACTTACAGAAAATGAAAGACAGCACAAGAAAACAATGTTGTTATTACAAATGAACAAGATGAAAAAGCACAATCACAATTCACACCTGAGAATGTATTTTCAGAACATCCCACCTTTAAACGCTACATATGCTTATCATCAGCAATCTGCTCGTAAGCAATCTGCTATTGGGGTCTGGATGAAGAATTTCAATGTCGAATTACACGGGTGGTATACTGGAAGATGGCTGCACCAAAGCCCAGTTTAAACTGCATATCTACGTTCAGGTTAAAATGTGATAAATTTGACAGAAATGCAACAATATGTACCTCAATTTGCAGAAGAACAACAAATAAGTTATTTACAACTAAAAGGGGCACAGATACCTAATTCTGGGTCAAATTCTGATGAAGCAGCTTAAAGGATCCTGGGGCTATATAAAACAGGTCTCGATTCCCAAATGAATATGTCATATCACAGGGCCATCAGAACAGAATTCAGAGGACTTTGGCCTTGCTCTTGGAAAGAGCCATGAGTCAGGATGCAAAGCATGGGGTGTTACAAACCTATGGAGCCTACTACAGACCACAGGAGCTGGGTGTGACAATCCTTACCCAGAGCCATCTCTTTCCCACTGTAATCACTCCTCCACTGCAAGGTGATTATTCCTGAATTTTGACAGGGAAATGGCTGTTCAAATAAATTATAATAATAATAATAATAATAATGCTTTGTATTTGAAGTGTTCTTTTTTTTCTTTTTTCCTTTTGGAATCCAAAGCATTTCAAAAACACTGGGTTATCTTCCAAACAGACCTGTGAGGTTAGTATATGATTATCAGCATTTTACAGATGAGGAGGCCACAAAGGCCCAGACACTAAGCCCCTCAGTATTTCCGATGTCAATAGGGATGGGAAGAGAACTGACATCTAATGACCACCTACATGTTGCCTGGCCCTGGGCTAGAAATTCCACTTACATTATCTTATCTCCTCCTATCCTTCATTCAGAGAGGCTGAATAACTTGCCTAGGTCATACAGCTAGTACATGGCAGAGCTGAGGTTTAGATCCCCAAGTCCTCCAGAACTCTATTATACTAGGCAGCCTCCCCGTAGAAGTATTCAACCCAAATCGGTGGAGGCATTTCCTTCTAACTTCTGGTAAAAGCATTTCTGACTATGCCCTGCCACCTGACTGCTCATGCTGTAAGGAGGTAACTAGCTCAACTGATACTTCCACACTTTGAGCCTTCTCTCCCAACTTCACTCCTTGCCCTCAGCCCTGTAACCAAGTGGGCCCTGCAAAGCCACTCGCCACTTGCTCAGCAGCCCACACCCTGCTCCAACTCCGGTACCAGCTTAGCTGTGGAGATGCACAGGGTGCTGTGGGACAGTCTGTGTTTGCTGCCACTGCTTCCTCAGAGCTTAAACCTCACCCAAACTTCTTTAATTCAGGGACATTAGCAGAGAAATTTCTTTTCTTCCCTTTTCCATCAAAAGTATCCTCCTTCTAAGCCCAGTTAAATTAAAATGACAAGGAAAATGAGACAGTGGCTTACCTGGTGAGTTTGATCGTTTTTCTGAATTCACTGGTAATTGGAGCCTTAAAGCCACCTTTCCTGAGCAAGGAGTCTATGGTCTGGATGTGATCCCAGTCTGAGGAGGAAGAGAAGCCACCCAGAGGTCAGCACCTGATCACACAAGAGTGGGACATGTTTTTATAGGGCCAATGTGAGGAGAGAGGAATGGGATTCGAGAAGTAGCCACATCTGTGTGGGCAGAGGAAACCCCAGGCACTGGCCCACACGTACCTGGAGCCCTCGCCTGCCTCCCTGACAGTCCAGTGGAGTCTCTGAAACATGACATGGTAGCCCAGCACATGCCATAACTGTTGTCCCCAGGCTCCCAGCTCCTGCAGCATTCTTGTCATTCTTGTTACCCAAGTGTAATCATTTACCAACAAACACGGTCCCAATTTAGATGGGCCAACTGGCCTAGTCCTCGTACCCAGGGCTGTTCTGTGGGAGGAAACAATTAGAATTCTGCAGCTTTTATTCCTTTGTGTGGCTTTCCAGAAGAGTTTGATGACTTCTAGGAATCCTGTTTTCTATTACAAAGAATCTAATGGCAGGAAGGAACTGTTTCTTTAGGAAGGATGGGAAAGTTGTTCATATACTTATATACTGTTGTTGTTCTTATGTATTCTTAATGGATAAAATCAAATACATCAAATTGAAACCAAACCAAACAAACAAAAAACCTCCCTAGATTACTATACTTTCTCAACCACCTTTCAAATGCCAAAAGTTTATTTGATATTTACCTAAGTTATTGTCCCATCTCACTATTAACAAACACTTGTGGTATGCCTCCTTGTACAGAAATGTGTTAGCGTTCTGACTTCAAAGAGGTGACTAAAAGGCTTCTTCTTATGCCACTGCTTTTGAAAAAGTTTAAATATAACCAGAATGGAAACTAACAAGGCAATGCCTTCCATATAAGTAGTTCACTGATAAAACACTTAACTGGGTATTTTCTCTATTCCAGGTTCACACCCAACAAATACTGAGTTTCATGTATTATTTTCAAAAACAGACTAATTCCAAGAAAGAAAGAAAATTGGGTTACATATCATAGAACGCACAAGCAATATTTAAAGGTATTTTTCTAGATATTCTTTTAAAGAGAAAACTTGCCCAACTCACTTCCTACCTTTAATGTCCCATTAATAAGAACTTATTAACTACTGAAAATAATTACTGTTCTTTAGAAAACAAAAGGGATTACTTTTTGCCCTCTGCCAAGTATAACACTGTTTAACAATGTACGATCAAAGGTTCAAAATCCAGAGATGGGCAACTTCCCTTTGTAATGAACTCCGTAACATGGTCTAGTTGGTGGCTGCAATTTTGCTACAACTACCACTGCAGTTTAGGGGGTCAAAAAACAAAAACATTCAGTGAAAGTGTTTGAAACATGCAGATGAATAAGAAGTATTTACCCTTTTCTTTTCTTAGCTCTGAGCTCTTTTTTGGGAGTTCCCTCCTAGTTCTATAGGAATTTGATACGTATCTCTAGGAAGAGCAGCACTCATTCTCCGCTGCATTTGGACTGAAAGATGGCGCACTTGACTCTCCTGTGCTTAACTGGCAAAATTGTGAATGGTATTATTTATTAAAATCCCATTCACCCAACTCACCTTGTTCCTTAGCAACCTCAGGTAAGTATGTGGCTGTACGTTTGATGCCTTTTTCATTGATGAATTCAATTCGAATCCCATGGACCCCTACCTACAGAAAAACACAACCAGGTAAATGGAATTTACTTATTCTAATGGGATTTCAACCACCCACACATAAATTGACCTTGTCTCCTGCACCAAGGTGACTTAGGTTTGGGCAAAGGAGGCTCTCTCTGAGGTGCAGAGGCCAAAGGCATTTCAGCCTCAGTGCAGGTGCAAGTTTCTGTGGAGCCACCTTTCTGAGAGTAAGAGGTAGTAGAAATAAAGTCTTTCAAGAGTTTATCCAATATTGAATATTTTACTTATCACCTATTCCATTAAATGAACATACTATGTTTTTCTTTGGGTTCATGAGTCTTCACATCTGACTCCTAATAACTTTTACTCAAGAGCTTACCAAGAGAGTTCTTTTCCTTTATCCCCATTATAATTTCTTATTAGGCAATGGTAGGAGGATGTGGGAAAGAGCAGATTGGGAAGAAATGGGAGAAGCAGAAGAAAGCCTGTACATTTTTTCCTACTCCTAATATAGCAGCACCTTTTCTGTCACCTATGTTCCCACAACTGGCTCCAATCTTACTTCCACATTCTATACCCTCTCTCAATGAAGGAGATACATTACCATGTACTAACCCGAACCCAAATGCAACGAGAGATGCAGAGTTCCAAATGAGGCTGTTCTCACCTCCCAGTCCAGGTAATCAGTGGCATCCTCAAAGTTAGTAAGGAGGGAGACAGAGCAGAAAAGTTTAGGCAGCTCCTCTCGGGTCAGGGGGGGAAATCGGCTGTCCTTAAGTGCACTGGAAGGTACAGAAAACACAGGTGAGGCTGCTCTGGAGTCACGGGCCAACACCAGGAGCCACAAAGTCCACACATTTATGAATCTTTTTTACTTTTTTATGGAGGTTTTCTTCTTTACTGAGAAACTTAAGACTTGGGTATTTATGAATCTTGGTATGTGGAGAAAATCTATCAACAGAACAACACTAACATACTAAAACAACTGGATGCTAATAACTGACTAAACTTTAACTAAACGACTCACCGAATTAAAACTCCCTGTATTTCCTGATGGGAAACCCTGGAGGCGTAGTGATTAAGAGTCTGACTGCTAACCAAAACGTTGGCAGTTGGAATCCACCAGGCATTCCTTGGAAACCCTACGGGGCAGTTCTACTCTGTCTTTGTAGGGTCACCATGAGTTGGAATTGACTCGACGGCAATGGGCTTCTTTTTAAATATTTCCTTATTACCAAAAGGAGAATGCTGAAAATTTATTACTTAGAAACAAAATCAGTCAGTTGCTCCCAATTCTAGTAAATTTATCCGCAGTTCTTTTTTTTTTGTAATCCACAGTTCTTAATGGCTAGTGTCATTACCTGGTTAACGTGTATTCCCTGAGTCCTGAGTGAAGATTCATGGCTGAGAAGGTCCCAATGCAGCCACGAAGCCGCTTGTCCCGCCCTGTCTTCCATGTCACAAAGAGCGGACTAAAAAAAGGAAAACACAAAACATTCTCCAGCCCCAAATTAATCATGTAGAAGAACAAAACCTTTAGGCTTTGTCCCTGTTCATTTCGTTATTCCCCAAGAGGGTTGTTTTCTGAGTTGGCGGCTATCTGAAGGACTCTCTGCCTTTCTGGAAGTTGCACAGCCCCTGGTTGGAAACAGAGAGGAAAACTTTGCAGGGTGGCATGAAGAAAAGCTCTGTGTGCTGCCTTTCCTATGTTCCAGGCTGACAACTTGAATTCACTCTGACATGCATTTTACGCACTATTTTTCTCTTCTGCCAGGACTCAACTTTCCCTTCTTCTACTTCTCCATGTTTTTCTCCTCTTCTTTATTTTACTTCTATGACCATCCACGTTCCCCAGCTCCATACTTCATTATGACACACTTGACCTGGACACCTCCCTGCTTTATCTGCAAGCTTCCTTTGCAACACCACATTGTTTCCCATGATTATGTCTGTCCCTTGCAACTACAAGTATCTCTTGCCACATAAATTTTCAGAAAGGAAAATCAATGTCTTCTCAAGAAAGTTTTTTATTAGCAGAAGTTGCCAATTTCTGTTTCCAGGCCAAAGTCATGCTTGACTAGGCTATGGCTGCTGTGGTTGGTGGTGGCAGATTTTTTAGAAAGAGGTTACAGAGTTGTCTGCTTTCTAAAATTCCTGCCTGACTCCATATCCCTATGTCCTTACCACTTATATTTTTGAGTTAATCACTGCTAAAAACCAACTTATATTTTAAAAGTTATTTATTTCTTTGATCGTTACAAAAGCTCACAGCAAATCTCCCAACTTTCTGTCTTTCCCCTCCACTAAAACAGGAGAACTTCAGCCAGAGTTACTATCCCAAAACCTATGCAAAAACCCCTCAAGGCTTCCACTGTCTACAGGAAGGAAACACAAACCCTTGAGTACAACACCCTAAACCCTACTGGTTGGGACCAGTACCTGCGCTTCCACACTTGTGTCCCTCTTCTGCATGGATGACCCTTAACGCCACCCATGCTGAGAATTCCCACCTACTCAGCCAGGACTTTCCTGACGATATCATCCCACAATGACACTCCCTAAACTGTCACCCCAGTTTCCCTTCTCTAACATCATCACACAGGAGTAACCTCCCCTGTAGTACTCTTAGCTTTGTGTGTGTGTAACATCTCCAAACAACAAGGACCTTCCTTCATATGCCCTCCATATCCTGCTCAATACAGTTTCAGCATGGCACTAACAGGTGAGGGATGATCTTAGATCAATGCATTTTTCAAAAGCACCTCCTTAAAACAAAGAACAAAAAGCATTAGTGCTCTTCAAATGCAACCTGGTCTTCTTCCATTACTGAATCCAGGGGATGCTCTAAATATTGTCTGGACGTTTCTCAGCATTCTATTCCTATTACCCTTTGCTCAAATGATGTCACAGCTTTTTATAAGCAGCTGACCCTCTCAAGAAAATGACCTAGAAAGATGACATCATGCCTTCTGCACTGTCCCCTGTGCCTGATTTACTCACTAGGGGTCATTGGTGAATCTAGGAAGTCGTGGCTGTGGGAAGCCATAGAGGTGACAGTAGAGCACGTCAAAGCAGTAGCAGCACATCTCCGCAGTCACCACCAGGTTCTTGGTGGTGTTGGCAGTTCCGTTGGGCCGGGGGAGAGGGCTCAGCGCTCCCGATGCGGGATTCATTCGTGTAATGGGAGAGTTTCCAGGTCCCAGAGTTAAGTCCGATGCATTCTCCCGTCCACTGTTGCTGTCCACATGCTGGTGGTTTTGAAGAGGTCCTGTACTAGAGCCAGGCACAGTTGTGGACTGGTTCCCGTGACTGTGTGTTCCGCTTCCAGAAAGTTTGGGCTTCTTGACCCCACAACAACCTGCTGCCAACTTGGGCTCCAGTGGAGGAACACAACGTCTTTTTCCCATCCTGATTCAGTGCTTGAGGTCTGGAATGCTGCAGAACCCTAACCAAAAATATAACAGTTCATTAATTTGAATGGTTAGTTAAAAGCAAAAAACAAAAATCAAAGACAAAGGGTAAGAGTCACCAGATTCTCTTTTTCCCCAAAACCTCTAGTTCACTTGGTCACAAACAGTCACAGAGTAACGGAGCTATAAAAGACCCTCAATCTAGGGATTCCTAACGTTTTTCTAGAGGGGAATTATTTTTTATTTTCCACAAAGCTTATGATCACCACGGATGATGGCAGGCAAGAATCCCCAGGTCAGAAGGAAGGGTGGGGCAGCAGCTGGCTGGAAGCTGAATAAGGACATTTAGAGACTAAATGGAAGACTACACTTGACCTTGTCAGACTCTTCTTCATCAGGCTGCCCTCTCTACTTAAGTGTAGGCCCCAGATCCAACTATCCTACTTTTGAAAACACTCCAAAAAACTTTCATACTTTTCCTTGTTAACCACTTCCTTTCAGCAGTTTATCACTAACCTAAATCCATCTGTGTAGTTGTAGCCCCAAACCCTAGAGAAGATGGAAATCAGTTAGCTGTCTTTCTGACAAGAGCCCACCTGTAACACAAGGCTCTCACCATTCTGTCCTCACAGTTCTCATTCTCCAATGCTTTACTCATCATTTTTGGTTCTCTTCTGAACTTACTCCCATTTCTATACTTGTCTCTATCCTTGCAAGATCCCATACACAAAAACTGCAACCTAGTATAAACCTTTGTTCACAAAAATGACCCAAACCTCCCAGTCCTTTTGTGAGGTAGCCATTCCTGCCCTGTCATAGAGAGGCAGACAGATACAAAGCCATCCATCATAACAAAAGATGGCATTAGATGGACTAGAGAGGCAGCATGTCCCATCTGATGATGTGAAGGGGATGTGGGGATACTTTTTTTTTTTTTTTTACGGATTTTTCTACCTCAAAAAGTCTAAGGTAAAATGTACAGCTGTAACATGAAGGCCCTTTCTCTGTTGTCTGAAAAGTGTCAATACTTAACAGAATCAGGAAACTAGATACTATTTTTTTTCCACAGAAAAATTTACACATATATTGTTATGTGACTCTAATTGCTCTCCCCATACTGTGACAGCACACTCCTCCTTTCCATCCCTGATTCCCCATGTCCATTCAACCAGTTCCTAATCCTCTCTGCCTTCCCATCTCACCTCCAGACAGCAGCAGTCCATTTAGTCACTTGTATCTACTTGAGCTAAGAGGTACATCCTCACAAGTATCACTTTATGTCCCACAGTCCAGTCCAATCCCTGTCTGAAGAGTTGGCCCCGGAAATTGTTTTCGTTCTGGGCTGATAGAGAATCCAGGGGCCATGCTTTCTGGGGTTCCTCCAATCTCAGTCAGACCATTAAGTCTGATCTTCTTACTAGAATTTGAGTTCTGCACCCCACCTTTCTCCTGCTCCATCTGGGACTCTCTGTTGTGTCCCGTCAGCGCAGTCATTGGTGGTAGCCGGGCACCATCTAGCTCTTCTGGTCTCAGGGTGATGAAGTCTCTGGTTTATGTGGCCCTTTCTGTCTCTTGTGTCTTTGGTGTTCTTCAATCTCCTTTACTCCAGGTGGTTGGGACCAAGTGATGCATCTTAGATGGCTGCCTGCAAGCTTTTAAGACCCCAGATGCCACTCACCAAAGTAGGATGCAGAACATTTTCTTAATAAGCTTTATTATGACAAGTGACCTAGATGTCCCCTGAAAGCATGGTCCCCAGACCCCACCCCTGCTACTCTGTCCCTCAAAGTGTTTGACTGTATTCAGGAAACTTCTTAGCTTTGGTTTAGTCTAGTTGTGCTGACTTTCCCTGTAGTGTGGGCTGTCCTTCCCTTCACCTAAGATAATTCTTAACTAGATCCTACTTAATGTTGGTAAATTAGAGTTTGTAAAATTCTGCTAGCTTGAGAAAATTATTTTTTCTCTCAAGTTATTATATATGCTATTGTTTGAAAAAAAATTGTGTATAAAAAATTGTGTTATCTTACCTCAATTTTTTGTTGTGATATAGATATGTAGAACATTAATTGCCTGTTTAGGCATTGCTCTACAACACAGTATTCACTTGTAAATTCTACAACCTTTTAAATAGATATCTGCATACTCATTTGCAAAGTCATTACTTATACTAAAACAACTTGTCATTTTAGGTTGAAAAAACAAAAAAAACCCATTGCCATAGTCGGTCAATTCTGACTCATGGTAACTCCACGTGTTACAGAGTAGAAGTGTGCTGCACAGGATTTTCTTGGCTGTAATATTTACGAAAGCAAATTGCCAGGTCTTTCTTGTGCAGTGCCACTGGGTAGGTTCAAACTGCCAACCTTTAGGTTGGTAGTCAAGTGCAAACCATTTGTGCCACCCAGGGACCTTTAAGGTTAAAAGAGAAAAATTTCACAGACATTATTTGTTAACGTTCTTCGTATGTGCTATCTACAGCAAAACACACATATAGGTCAATTCTTAGTGAGATGAAGGTTGTCTGTAGCCAAAGGATAACAGCTTGCACACTTTGATGTCTAGCTTGAAACGGTCTTCTTTTTGACAAAGCCTTGTAAATTTGACACAATAAAGCCTCCAATGACTAGGTTTTGGTTTTTGTTTGTTGTTTAAGCATGTCAGTGCCATGTTTACTGTTAAGAAAGGGAGCATAATATCTTGGTCAAAAATGCTGCCTCCTTGGCCAGAGGACCTGGGTTCAAATCCTGGTTCTTCCAGGATTGACCTCTCTATGACTCATTTCCTCAAAATGGGAGTAACAATAGCACTTACCTCATAGAGTGGTTATAACAATTAAATGAGTTTAACGTATGTAAAGTACATAAAACCTTGCCTGGCACTTGGTAAACATCAATATATTTAGCTGCTCTAGGCCGACTGCTCCCACTAGAAGGGAAGCTCCCTTAAGGGCTGGACTTTGCTGTGTACTCAATGCGTGTACAGAGTTAAGCGCTCTTCAAACACGCTTTCATTGAATCCCCTTAACCACTCTGCCAGGAAGATGATGCTACCATAATTTCACAGATAAGGAACCTCAGGCTTAACAAGCAGGAAAACCTGCCCAAAGCCACACTGCCACTAAGTGTCACAACTAGGGTTTGGACCACAATCTATCTCAGACTCCAAGGCCTGGGTCATCCCACCAAGCTACAAGGAAGAATGAGGCCTGCCAATAATATCCACCGGACACAGTCCTTTTCCTAAAGGCATGATAAGCAAAAAAAATTACATTATGTTGTTGTTAGGTGCCCTCAAGTCAGTTCCAACTCACAGCAACCCCTATGTACAACAAAATGAAATGCTGCCCTGTCCTGCGCCATCCTCACAATCGTTGTTATGCTTGAGCCCATTGTTACAGCCACTGTAGCAATCCATCTCACTGAGGGTCTTCCTCTTTTTTGCTGACCCTCTACTTCACCAAGCACAATGTCCTTCTCCAGGGGACTGGTCCCTCCTGAAGCATGACCTAAGTATGTGAGATGAAGTCTCACCATCCTCACTTCTAAGAAGCATTCTGGCTGTACTTCTTCCAAGACAAATCTGTTCAGTCTTTTGGCAGTCCGTGGTATATTCAATATTCTTCACCAACACCACAATTCAAAGGCATCAACTCTTCTTCGGTCTTCCTTATTCACTGTCTAGCTTTTACATGCATATGCACCTACCGAAAACTTCATGGCTTGAGTCAGGTGCACCTTAGTCTTCAAGGTGACAGCTCTGCTTTTTAACACTTTAATGCGAAGCATCATTTGATTTCTTGACTGCTGCTTCCACAGGTGTTGACTGTGTATCCAAGTAAAATGAAATTCTTTAGTATACATCATAGAGTATACCAAAAACTAACTTGATAGGTTATAGGATCTTGCCAACAAAAATGGAGAATAAAAAAACAAAAACAAAAAACAAGTTCAAAACCAACATCTTAGCCACCATTCTGAAAATTATCAGTACCCCACAACTGTCATTTGAGTCCATAATCACTGGCCTCTGAGCTCTCACTAAACCTTCTACCTTGTGCATAACTGTGGCCAGGGGGCTTAGGACTCATGCTGGATGAAGCAGCAGGACTACTCAAGAGCTAGAGTTTTAACAGGGCCAGCAAGGCTCTGAGGTGCCCTGCCTTTACAGCCCAACTTGAAAGAATCAGACACAAAATTAAAAATTAAAACTTCCTCATTCCAATGAGCCCTCTGCCAAATCACACCTGTAAGAAGAGCTAAATGTCACCAGATGGTGGCACCAACTCCAGTGTTTCTTAGCAGATGATACTAGCAATCTGACTGGTGAAATACCCCGTAACAGAACAGTAGAAGTGATTTCCAAATTGTGCCAAGGCAAATGAATTCAAGTCTAGAAGGCTTGGCATACATACCGCATACAATCACTTATCTGCAGTGGACATGATCACAAGTGATATCAAGTGGTTTACATTTTAACAATTCCCCACGCCCTTTCAAACTAGGGTTTGAAATAAACAGAATGAACCAAAATCTTGTGGTTCTTTAGGCCCAAGCATTTCTCTGGAGACTACTGGGCAAATAATTCAATTTATAGTATCAGTTAGCGTCCAAAGGCAGAGGTAGAAACATTCTACATCAAAAATATATTAGCAACCTCTCTGACCAGGGACACAATGGAAGGTCCCGGTTAGAATGGGAGAAAAGTGTAGAACAAAACTCAAATTCATAAAAAAGTCCAGACTCACTGGAATGACAGAGACTAGAGAAATCCCCGAGACTATCGCTCTAAGACATCCTTTTTAACCTGGAACTGAAGTCACTCCCGGAGGTCACCTTTCAGCCAAATAACAGAGTGGCCTATAAAATAAACAAAAACACCTGTGAGCAATGTGCTCCTTAGAATAATCAACTATGCGAGACCAAATGGGCAGCATTTGCCCAAAAACAAAGATAAGAAGGCAAAGAAGGGCAGGGAAACTGGAGGGATAGAAACAGGGAAGCCAGGGTGGAAATGGGGAAAGTACTGATACACTACA